TTCTTTATGTGTTTGTTGGCCATCTGAATGTCTTCTTTGGTGAAGTGTCTGTTCATACCCTGTGCCCATTTTTCAGTTGTGTTGTTTACTTTTATCTTGTTGTGGTGGTATATTCATTTTAGATAGGTTTTTTTTTAATCTGGTCTAGTGCAATTGTCATTAACTCCCCACTCTTACTCTAGTCTCTTCCTAACCCCCATGTCAGAACTGCCTGCTTTATAATAGCAGTGCTACGCAGTATTTGTCCTTTTGTGAGTGAGATATTTCACTCAGAGTGATGTGCTCCAAGGTCCTCAATGTTGTGTAATTTGTTAAAAATTTTATTTCATTATTATTATTTTTGTGTGTGTGTACCGTCACATCGGATCTGACTGGGACAGGAGGAGACTGTCCCTCCTTCTCCAGCAGAGTACCTGTTGGATTTGAACTGCTCACCACTGGGATTGCAGTGCAGCTTCTTCTTGCCACTAGGCCACCAGAGCTCGCCATGTTGTGTAATGTTTTACAAGTTCATTGCTTTTTAGCACTGCGTAGTATTTCATTGTATAATATACCATATAGTTTTTCTATTCAGTTGTTGATGGGAACTTAGGTTGCTATCATCTCTTTGCTATTGTAAACAACACAGGAATAAACAAGGATGTCACAGGAATAAACAAGGATGTGTATATATCTGTTTGGATAGCAGTTGTGGTTTCTTTAGGGTATATTCCCAGTAGTAGAATTTCTGGGTCAAATGATATTTCTATTTCCAACTTTGTGTGAAAGTACCAAACTGCCTTCCATAGTGGTTGCACCATTTTACACTCCTACCAGAGGTGAATAAGGATTCCAATCTCTCTACAATCTCGCCAGCATTTATTGTTTGCTGCTCTGTTGAACTTTGTCATTATTACTGGGGTGAGATGATATCTCATAGCCGTTTTGATTTACATCTCTCTGATAGCTAGAGATTTTGAGCATTTCCTCATGTGTTTGTTTGCCATCTGGATATCTTCTTTGGTGAAGTATCTATTCATACCTTGTGCCCATTTTGCAATTGGGTTGTTTACCTTTTCCTCGTTGAGGTGCTGGAGCATTCCATACATTTTAGATATGAGTTCTTTATTGGAAAAAATATGCAACACTTCATGAATTTGCGTGTCATCCTTGCACAGGAGCTATGCTAATCTTCTCTGTATAGTTCCTGTTTTAGTATATATGCTGCCAAGGTGAGCACATCATTTGATTTCTTGACTGTTGCCTCCATGGGTGTTAATTGTGGAATGTTATCACTATGTGCAGTCATAGCTTACCTTCCAGCAAATTTTCAGAGGCTGTAAATGGCACCCATTTGAAAGATTGCCCATCTTTCTTTTGTGGAGTGCCTGGTGGATTCCAACCTAGTGCCTTTGGATTGGCATCACAACTCCTTACTACCAGGCCACCAGAGCTCCAATTGTAGAATGGTGAGGGGAGGAAAAAAAGAGGCCTCAAGAGTATTGGTAGTTTGAACAGACAAACTGGCATTCTAGAAGCAAGAATTTGCAATCGGGTCCCATGAAGCTCACAACCATGTTGTTATGTTTGTTGTTATGTGCTCTCATTGACATAGTAGTTGACACTACGACTCATAGTGACCCTATGCACAATGGTTCTGAACCCTGCTCTATCCCGAGCCAATCTCACTGTCTCTGACACACCTACCCTCATGACCCCAGTTATTGTGTCAATACATCTCATTCAGGATCTTCCTCTCCTGTGCTGTCCCTCGAACCTTCCAAGCATGTTGTCCTTCTCCAATGACTGGTCCCTCCTGGCTACATGCCCAAAATATATGAGACGGAGTCTCAAAATCCTTGCCTCCAAGGAGCAGCTTGGTTTTACCTTCTCCAGGGTAGAACTGTTAGTTCTCTTGGCAGACCATGGCATATTTAATATAAATCTCCACCACAACTCAAAGGCCAATGCCTTTCTTCTTCTTCTTCTGTCATCGTTAGTCATTGTCCAGCTCTTTAATGCATAGTAAGTAATTGCAAAGGCCATGGCCTGGATCAGGCACACCTTAGTCTCTAGACTGCCATCCTTGCTTTTCAGCACTCTAGAGAGGACCATCACAGATTTGCCTTATGCAAGTCATCTTTTGACTTCCTGACTGCTGATGCCAGAAGTGTTGATTATGGAACTATCAAGCTGGAATTGTTAACAATCTCCATCTCTTCTTCATCTATCATGGTGCTGCCAATTGGCCCAGTGGTGAGAATCATTGTCTTCTTGATGTTGAGTTTCAATCCATATTGCAAACTACAGTCCTTGACCCGGTGCAGCAGATGCTTCAGGCTCTCCTCATTTTTAGCAAGTAAGGTTGTGTCATCTGCATAACACAAGTTGTTGATGAGTGTCCCTCCAATCCTGATGTCACATTCCTCCTCATAAAGTCCAGTCTCTCAAATGTGAATCAAGGAACACTTGATTTTGCTCATGCGAAACCTATACTTGGACCAGGAGGCATTCATCGTAACAGAGCAAGGAAACATTTCATGATTCAAAATCAGAGAAGGAGTGCAATAGGGATGCATCCTGTTTCCATGTTGCTGTTGTCAAGTGCCGTCAAGTCCTGTTTCCATACCTTTTCAAATTCACAACCATGGAGCAGTTCTATTCTAGCAATAGCGTTGTCATGAATCAGAATTGACTCGCTAGAGATTGAAATTGTGTCTCCCAAAAATATATGCCAACTTGGCTAGGCCATGATTTCCAGTCCTGTATGGTTGTCTTCCATTGTGTACTATGATGTCATTCTATTCCATTCTGTGATATGTGGTATAAATTCGAATCTCTACATGATCTTAAATCAGGATTAGAGTGTGTGTATCCTGAGTCAACCCCACTCTTACTTTTTACTATCCTTATTTGAGTCCTACCTTTGGTTAAACCACCCTTTTATAAGAGTTAAAGAGAGAAAAGGAAGGGCCTGACTACCACCAAGATAAAAAGAGCCAGGAGTGGAACTTGTCCTGAATCTAGTTTCTCTCTGCTTTCAACCCTCTAGACCCAGGGACTGACTGGTGCTAAGACATATGGGGATCTCTGAGGAACACTTGCTTACTGGTGCTGAAAGGAGACAAGAAACTTCCCCGGAATAAACAGAGAGAGAAAGACTCTCCCTAGAGCCAACACCCTAATTCAAACTTCTTCTCAACTGTAAGATAATAACTTTGTTAAAGCCATCCACTTGTAATATTTCTGTTACAGCAGAACTACACAAACAAGACACGGTTCAAAGGCAATAGGCTGGAGTATCTGCCAAAACTTTGGAAAGAAGACTGGAGAGAACTTGGTGGTGTCTGGTTCAGTATGGGGATAAGAGAGATCAAGACAGGACTCCAAGATAACTCACCTAGGGTGGAGGGTGGTGACAATGGCAGAAAATTTGCCTAAGCAGAGATGCTGAGAGGGGGAGTAAAAGGGAGGAACTTCTAAGCTTGTCTTTGGCCATGCCAGTTGGAGTTGACTTAACAGGGACAGACAGGTCTCAATAGGCCCCACAACTGTGATCCCCAGGAAGGAACTCAGCCATGAGTCAGCTCCAGGTGGCAGAAACTAGTTACACTCACCCAGCATCTGAGTGTCAACAATAGTGAACGCCTGACCCCAGGATCAGCTGACATGGAGAATGCTTACTCCTCAGAGGAAAGACCACAAGGAGGAAAAGATTCTGAAAATGGATGTTCCTGATTGATCCAGGTACAGACAACACCAGAGAGTGAGGGCCTGGCTCTGTTTATAGCTGATTCGGTCACCATTGCACACCTGAGAGCCAGTAACAGAGTGGGAACTTTTTATTTGCAGCAAGTGAATCATAGCACTGCCCCCAAGTGTTCATGGGCATCCTGCTACAGGAAACTCTTACACAAGCTGGGAACAGGGAGCCTGCTGGCCACCCTCTCCGTGTCTCCCCAGGCCTTGCATTTCAGAGTCTTCTATATCGCCAGCAGACAGCAGATGGCAGCAGAAGCTTGACTCGAGGAGCCGGTCCACAGACCCTCACCTCTTCTACCACTCTTACCTTACAGAGAAAAGGAGTGACTCCCCCAGGGTGCCTATGTGGATTAACGGGGAGCTAGGATCCCCAAGTTGTTCTCAAGCCAGGCTCCACTCCTGGCATCTGCACAGGTAGCTCGGCGTGCTTGCAGGTTCCCTGGCACAGCAAGTTCGCATATCTATCCAAAGATGAGGCTAGTCTAAGGCTGAGGCAGCAGCTGTTACAGGAAGGAAAAGCAGAAAGGCTTTCATCAGAGAGTCTTCTGTTCACAGGTGAGCTGGCAGCCAGGGTCACAGCAGGAAGCTCCAGTGAGAACAGAGAGAAAACAGCACTGGAAACAAGCCAGAGTCTGCTGTTGCTGTTGTTGACACTATTATTATTATTATTGCTTTGGGACAGAGGGGACTTTGCCCCCAGAAGGAGGTTAAGCTGGTGCACAGAGGCTGGCAGCATCATTCCCATCCTTGACAGCAGCAGGGTGGGCACTATGGGGGGGCAGGTGAGCAGAGGAGGAGCAGGTACTGTGCAGCCCCTCTAAGAAAACTAGAAGGGGCTGAAGGGGCCCCGGTGTACAGCGCTGACTCTGAGTGTGTGCACACGCTCCTTGACAGGTGCATACATGGGAAAAGGAGGGCAGACAGATATGTATGAGTGTGTTACTGAACGTGGCCATCTGGGTCCAGCTCTGGGGAGTGTACACCCAGAGCTATGAGGACGTGGCTGGGGGCTGGAGTGAGCACGGGCAGGTAAACAACACCTGGAGCACCAACAGGAAAGACCAGAGGGTGAGCTCAGCAAGAAGAGAGGAGGGTGGGGTTATCCTCCCTGCCGGCACCCCAGTCCCAGCCACTCGTGTCCATGAGTCAAGAAAGGCAGCAGAATGGCCTGCCTGGAGGAGAGGGGTAGCATATGGTACACAAATGCGAGGGCGCCTTGGTGGGCTGGGTTGCCTGCATGTGCCTGGTGTATGTACAGTTGTTCGTGCTGATTACATCTATGATGACGGCCCTCAGACTTGCTCATGGTGTGTGCCCAGGCTCACTGGGCATGTGTGCGTACAAGGGTGCATGTGTGGGTTAGCTTCACACGTTTTCACAGGAGCTGCTCACCCACCAGCTCCTGGAGGCTGCCCTGAGGAAGCCAAAGGCCTGGGCACCCCTCTAGGCACTGAGGTCTACCACGACATGTCGGTACACGAGTGTCTGTCCCTTGAAGCTGGGAGCCAGGAGCAGCTGGGCATCCCCAGCAGGCATGTAGCAGAAAGCTCGAGGGGCCTGCACAGCCAGCTCCTGGAACCGCACAAATTTCTGCCTCCCCTCGTCCCACTGGTAAATCTGAGTAAAGGAGAAGTCACTGCCCAGCGCCAGGTACCGGCGGCCGCCCACCAGGAAGGGCTGCAAGGCCAGCGAGCCTCTCGAGGGCAGGGCCTGCACTTCTGAGAAGCGAGTCCCTTCCCAGCGCAGAATCTTGGAGTCCCCGATGTATCGGCTGAGACACAGGTAGCTGTCACGGCCAGCACGAAAATGTTTCACTGCCTGGGCATCAGGCACCTGGGTCACCTCACTCTGGGCCACAAACTGCTTCTGGGTGCGACTCCACTGGTAGATAATCGGCGCCTGGGAACTGCTGGACACTATCAGCCGAGGCTTGCCCTCGCCATCCACAAACTCAAGGTCGGTGTCTCGGTGCCAGGCGTGCAGGGCCTGGTGAGAGTAGAAGCCATTCTGGTGCCAGCGGTAGAGACTGGTGGCACCGGCCTTGGAGCTGTCAGCCACAGCAAAGTACCAGTCCCCATCGATGCGGAAGGCCTCAAGGTCGTTGGGCTTGCGCACGCGCTGGGGGTCGATGTCCTGCAGCTTGGTGAAGCGTGTGGTATTGGGGTCCCAGTGGTAAATGTAAGAGCCTCCAAACAGCTGTGCCACAACCACGTACAGCTGGCTGTCCACCACCATGGGCTTGCAGTGCACCGCGGAGGGGGCTGCTCGGACAGAGGAAGGCAGCTCAGACTGGCTCGGGGTGCTCCCACCCCATCCCAGCCCCTCCACCCAGAACGAAGATTCTCTGCGACAACAGTCCATCCCCACCGAAGTTCCTCTCCTCAGCACTCAATGCTTTCTAGCTGTTTCTCAGTTACTGATCATTCTCAAGCATCACCCTTTCTACACCCTCACCCCAGCGTTTAAATATAGGTAATGACACAAAATAGCTGTCCTTTCCTACTTTTTCCTCCTGATCACTCTCCTTTGGCCTTCAAGACTAAGCTCCAAAGTGAAACCCAAGAGCCCCTTTCACCACCTCTCATTATTTCACTAACATCTCCTAGTTACTTAAGGCACAACCTATGCATCATTTCTGACTCTTTTCTTTCCCACTTCCTTCAGTTTAGGCATCTCCTCCACCCAGGAAGCCTTCCTTAAATGCCCAAAGTCAGGTTTTCCTTTATGCCTCCAGAGCACGGTGGTCCTTCCTCCATCCTTGCCTGTACCTACCTTATGAAAGTCACGTGTGTATGCAAATGCCGCTTTCCAAACACTGGCAAGTCCTTATGGACAGAGATCCTATCTTGTGAACCCTCTATTAGAAGAAGGCACTGTCTGTTGAGCAACAGACACTCCTTTTTCCACACCCCACCCACGGCCAGCACAACCAGGTACCTGGGATTCTATCATAGTCTCGCAGCTGCCGTTCAACATAGTCCCACTTGAGGATGGTGCAGGTGCTGGCACCTGGTTGGGCCAGTGCCAGGTAGAGGTCGCTGGAGTAAAGGAAGGGCTCAGCTGACACTGCTGGGAAGGACAGGGTCTGGTATAGCACGAAATCTGCAGAGGCGAGAGGGGGGCACGTGTGGAGGGCTGTTGTTGAGACTAGAAGGCGACACCAACGAGCTCTTTGGGTGGTAAAGGGTGTTGAGGGCGGTTCAGGTAGTGCTGTGGCTGCCCACAGAGGGCAGGGCCGGCTCCTACCAGTGGTGATGCAGTCAAACTCTCGCAGTGGCAGATCCTGCACCTTGTGCTCCTGGAAGCGGGGCGGGCTGGTGCAATAGATGGGGGCCACCGTTGTGTTGGTGTGGGCCAGCCACTCCACCAGCCACTTCACTTTGCAATCGCAGTTGAGTGAGTTGCCCCGGAGGTCTCTGGAGCAGGAGGGTGGTAGAGGGGAGCACAGAGAAGGATAGACTCTCAGCTCCTCTGCCCACCTGGACTCTCCAGGTATTCAGAAGGAGATGTTGTCAAGGCTGCAGCTAGTCACTCAAACTACATCTCTGTGTAGATAGACAAAGATTTCCCTCAGAGTGGATGCAACTTTGTACATCTTTGGCAAGGGGTGTGGGAGCTAAATTCTAGCTCCTACTTGCCTCACTTTTTGCAGTCTACAACCTGCACAGCTCAATGTTACACTCCTATTTCTTCAAAGCTTCCACAGCCTAGGGCTTTGGTTCATTTATTGTATGAATGATTATAAATAAGCATGGCAATGATACAGGACTTTAGTGTAGATTCAAATTAATAATAGAACTTTTTTTTTTACAAATTAAAAAGTCACTATTATTATTGAGTAAGAACCTAGAAGTGTAGTGTGTTGTGTGTTGGGTCGATAACAGAAATGTTGATGGTTCTGATCCACCAGTTCCTCCATTGCAGAAAGAGGAGTCAGTCTTCTGCTTCTGCTAAGATCTACAGCGTTGGGATTCTGTTACAAGATTGCCACAATCTGGAATCACTCAACAATACATTTTTTGAAGCACATATTTTAAAATCAAGGGAGTTCTGGTGGTCTAGTAGTAAGAAGTTCCACTGCCAACCCAAAGGGACACAGTCCAAATCCACCAGTTTCTCCATGAGAGAAAGACAAGCAAATCTCCCATGAGATTTACAGCTTCTGAAAAACCACAGGGTCATCTCTGAGTTGGTTCTGTCACAACAGCACACGACAGCAACAATTTTAAAAACATTTACACACAGTGCCTAATGCATATTCTGAAGGACACACAGGTTTATCACCTTTCCAATTCAGAGAGCTACCTACCTCTCTAATAACTTCAGGGAGCTCTCCCCAAGTCCCACCTTGCCAGACTTTATGAACTTCCCAATCTCTAACTCTCACGCAACTCTCTCAGGGGCACACCCCACTGAGCCCTGGGCAGAAGATATATGATTCAGGTCTTACAAGTCACTCAGAATGTCCAGGGGCCGAAAGATGTCTCGAGGCAGTGTCTGCAAGTTATTGTTGGCCAGTGAGCTGCAAAAGAGATCCCCCTAGTCACCTGAAGATTGTGACCAAGGTCAAAGACCACAGGCTAGGGCTTTGGTCCAACACATGGATGTGTGTGATCTACTCACAGGTGTGTCAGGGATTTGAGTCCTCTGAAGGTAAACTTTGAGAGTGCCCAGATGTCATTGTTCTCAATGAAGCTGGAAAAAAACAAGAACCCCACCACTGTTCAGGATCTCAGACTCCCTCCACAAGCCATTTTTCTGTGTCTTCACCCACACAGCAGCAATGCGCTCAAGCGTGTCAGAGATAATGAGGATGGCACAGGGTAGGACAGGGTTCAGGTCTGTTGTTCACAGGGTCGCTATGGCTCGATGGCACCTAACAACAACCTAAATTGCAGACCATATCCTTGAAACAGGCTTCCGTTCCAAGATGGATAACATTAAGTATGGGTAACATTGCAATGACAGGAGCTTAGGATGAGCTTAGGAGACAGGATGGCTTAGGAAGGAAGATGGATATGATATTCACTCAGGAATCCTCAAGTAAGAGGATTCAGGGCTGCCACTGCCTTCCTCATTCCACTTCCCCTTTCAGCCCACCCAGGTCAGAGGTTCCCCCCCCCCCATTCTCCCATTCTCTCATCCTTCCCACACACAGGTACTGCAGGTGCGACAGTCCTGTGAAGGCATTGTCTCCGATCAGCGTGAACTTGTTGGAGTTGAGTAACCTGGGGAGACAAACAAAGAATTAGAGCTCCCAGGGTGTGCCTGCTGGCCTGGGTCCCCAGCACATCATTTCATTCCTGGGCTTCCCTGAGCTCTGGCTGCTACTCTGAGCCTCAGGAGAGAACCCCAAAACACCCTGGGTTGCAAGACCAGGCAGGAGCCACTCTGGTCCCAGAAGCTCCCAGAGTTCCTGGTTGCTCTTAGAGGAAAACTGGTCAGGAGTGTATTTCTCCTGTAGGGCTGGGTCTTGTCATTCCCTGCTGCTTCTCTTTTCCTTGTCTCCCACCCTCACCTTAATCTACCAGGGCTGGCAGTAAGCTAGAGTTTAAACCATGGTGAGGATTAACCTCACTCCTGTGTGCTCTCTCCTATGACTCGCATTTCAAACATAAGCAAAGTGTTCTAGAATTCCAGACCCTCCTGTAACCCATCCTTTTCAGACCTCAATTCTTTCTTCAACTTATCATTGAGTTATTCAATCCACTGTCCTACTCTCTGGTGCTACCTAAGTTTTAGCACCTAACTCCTTTCATTCTCCAGAAAAAGCACATCTCTTCCTAAATGGACCCAATTCTCCCTTGATCGACTTCCAGATACAGACCCTCACAGTCCTTCTTGCTAAGTGCTGCCCCTTGGGCCCCCAGATCCTTGTCTGGAGTGCCTGACTCCAGGCTGTTCCACCTTTTGTGGTGGGTCATGTTGCTGTGGCATCAGAACTAACTCATAGGTGACCCTCCAGCAGGTTTTTAGCAGTTGTATACTGCATAGGAGGAAATTGCCCATCTTTCTCCTACAGAGCAGCTGGTGGATTCGAAACATGAAGATTTGGGTTGGCTACAACTCCTTATCACTAGGCTATCAGAGCTTCCTTGGCAGATCATATAGGAGCAAAAGTAAGGACACCTGTACCTTTATCTCTAAGGCTGCATAAACCCACCTCCCTTTTCTCTTTCTCCCTCAGCCTCCCTCCACTCCCATCTCCCTCCCACCCCAAAGGCTCTTTCCATACAAGAACTGCAGCAGCGGCAAGTGGGAAAATGCTCCATCGTGAATCTCGGAGAAGGCAGCATTCACCAGCGTCCTGCAAGGGAATACTCCAGTCAGTCCTGTGGGCAGTATGCAGGGACTGTGCTAGGGCAAAGGTCAGGATGGCCAGTGAAGGTAGGATGGGACAATGGGCTGTACACTCACTTGTCCTGAACTCTCCCCATATCACCATTCCAGCCCCTGACCTGAGTCTGTCTTTCCCTTCCTTTTACAAACTCACCACCTGCCCTCACCACAATCTTCCCTTGCTGTCTCCCTGACCACCAGTGACCCTGGGCTGGGCTTCTCCATTAGCCAAAGGAACCTTCCATTATCAGCCTCATTGCCATTATCAGCCAAACACCCACAATGCGCTGGGTATACTGTTAGGGATGAGGACTGTGACCAGCACCTTGCTCTTAAAAACCTGCAGTCTCTCAAGCCCAGCAGGCATGGGAGGGCCCGAAGCTGGTTGCTGCAAGGGACAGCTGGCTGGTTGGCTGAGGGCAGAATGCTGGCAAGGCCAGTGGCAGGCGTTAGCCCCACCCCAGATGCACTGTGAGGGCTCTCTCACTCCTAGCCCTCCCCTTCTCTGTCTCCCTCTCCAACAAGGAACCTTTCTGCCCTTGGTATAATAACATCATAACTCGTGTAAACAACTCCCCCTGCCCCCCACCAGCAGAGCCCCAGCACACAGTAGGTCTCATTGATCCTGATGAGGTGATGTTTCCTTCTCAGCTGTAGATCCCAGCTTTCCTCAGCCATGGCTGCTAGGCTTGCCAGACTGCAGGACTTCCTGCCCTCCCAGTGCCTCCAATCCCCGGCCCTGAGGATTCCCCTGGAGTCCTCCTGGCCCCCACACTCTGACGAGGGGGACCACGGGTTCTCCTCATGCCCTCCCCCCACCCCTGCTTCAGGCCAGGGCTCAGCACTCACAGGGAGATGACCTCGGAGGGCAGGTTTCTGGGCACTGCCTTAGAGTCCACGCAGAAGGCGGTGTCCCTGGTGCAGGAGCAGCTGGGCGGGCAAGGGGGCGTCTTGGGGGGCCTCTTGGCACTGACTTGCAGCATTAAGCAGAAGCCTAGCGTGGACAGCGCTAGCAGCCGGGGCCCCAGACCCCGCCTGGCCTGCAGCCCCGCCATGCCGCCCCGCAAGCACTGCTGAGGGCTGCCCGCAGTCACCGCCCCACCGCTCAGGCGGGCTGTGCCACCCCGCGCGGACAGGCACCTCCCGGCCGGCCGCCCCAGCCGCAGCCGCAGCCGGCGCTGCAGCTACGGGTCCCGCTGCCTTTTTCTGGGAGCAGAACCCCCTTGTCGCCCTGTGCGACTCCTCCTGCCCCAAGGCGCCGGCTGCCGTGCCCTTCCCCGCAGGCTCCTGCAAGCTGGCTCGGAGAGATGCGCGGAGCTCCGGAGCGAGGGCTGGCCAGCAGCGGTGGACGCGGACTGCGGCGGCGGGGGCGCGCGCGGGGGCGGGGTGAGGGAAGTCCCGGGCCGCCAGGAGCCAGAAAAGGAGGGGTTGCCGGCCCTGGGCGCTATACGCCTGAGGCGGTCTCTGGAGCCCTCTGCTTGTTTGTCTTGATACCCACAGTGTCTTTGTGCGCGCGTATACAGGTGCATTGGTACGTTAGGCATGACTATGTGCACATGTGTGCACACTTCCCTCCGCACAAACCATGCACGTTCTCCCTTGTGGAGACTTTCTGGCCTTTTAAAATTCATGTGCGCCTGTTTTGGGCTTCCTAGACACATCCTCCAAGCAGAAGTTAATGGGTGTGTCTTGAGGGACACGTGCCTATCTGGGCTGGCATGCACAAGTGTGTACAGAGCTTTGAATGTGCGTGTGTGTGTGTGTGTTCATATGTGTTTGTTTCCACGGCCACTGAACAGAATGTGCCTTTGTGTCTGTGTGAGCCAAAAAGGGAAATGTAGTCATTGGAGCTGGAGTGGGAGCGTGTGGAATTCTGGAACATTTCTCACTACACAACCACAGCTTGTTGCAGCTATGGAGAGCCTTGGACAAGTTCCAATCCAGCCCTTTGTCTAACAAATAAGGAAACTGAGGCCTGAAAGAAGAGGAATGCAGCCACGCTTTAGATTTCATCTAGTATGTTATATCCTTTACATGCCTAATTACATGCCTAATCCTTGCCACCTTTTGAGGTAAATAAGTAATATTAGTCCCTTTTATAGATAAAGAAAGTGGGACTCATCGTTTCAGAAGAAGAAAATAACAGAGGAAAGATTTCTTTTTTTTTTAGCTCTCTCTGCCTAACGCCAAAGTTTATGATCATTTATATATGTAATTTTCAAAGTGTGTCCAGGGAGCTTGTCTCTTTTTGAGAACCTTCCAGCATCTGAGGATACAATTTTCCTAATATTAAGATGCCATTTGTCTTTTCCACCTTCATGCTTTCTCAAAAGTACCCTGGAATTTTCCAGAAGTTACATAGTATAGCTCCAACTAAACCAGACATTAAAGAGATTTGCAAAAAGTAAAACAATGATGTTCTTACCTCTAAAATATTTTTGCCTTAAAAATATTTACATTTGAATAATGTGTTGCTTATGTTAGCATAAAATGAGTTTGTGATAGTGAATAGTTTTAAAATTTCAGTAAGTATCAGTAGATAGAACCTCCTGTGCAATTTACAGCCTCTGAAAATCTTTGAGGGTCAGCTATGAGTTGGTTCTGACTCAACAGCAAACAACAACATAAACAAAAGTTCTTTGGAGTCTTCAATACTTTTTAAGAGTGTAACTGGAGTCCTAATGCCAAAACATTTGAGACTTGCTCCTCCATAATGCCACCGCCCAAAACAAGGGAGGGAAATGACTGTCCCAAGAGCACGTAACTACACGGTAAGAGGAACCTGGGAGCCAGGAGCCGGGCGCCTAGTCTACTAATATTTACATCAGTCCAGAGAACTGAAATCCTTGGGTTTCAGATGCTTCCCCAGCTGCTGTCTGCCAGCAGAGGATTCTCTAGTCTGAGCTCAAGCCCATCATCTCTCAGCCAGGGATGCCACTGCCCTTTGGGGCTCACTTGCCAACCAGCTGCTCATGCTCCCTGCCTATGTCAACTTGTGGGAAGGGAACCATTGAGAGTGGGGAGGGTGGCTGGGGCAGCTGGGCAACTGCCCCCACTCGTCCCTGGCACAGCTCTGCCCAGCACACAAAGGGCAGAGTGAATTTGTCCCATACTCTGCAGCTGAGGGGCTGGGAGAGAGGAGGCGGGGGCACATGTAGAAGGGTCGGTTACTACGGGACTTTCCAGTACCCACAGTTCTCAGAGGGGTTTAACCCAGACACAGACAAAAGGTGGGAATCCTGGTCCAATTCTTAGCTAGTGAGAGGTTCCCTTGGGGATGAAAATAGATGAAGAGAATGGTTGGTCTTCTACATCATGAAATCATTGAATTCTCTCAACAGGTTCGCACAGTGTCCAGAACATGGAGTATCAGCTCCATTTCACATTTCATGAACATACTCAAAATTCACTCAAACTCATTATTATCAGGGAGCTCTGGTGGCCTAGGGGCAAGAAGCTGCGCTGCAATCCGAAGGTGCGCAGTTCCTAGCAACAAGATGTTCCGCTGGAGAAGGACGGACGATCTCTTCCTGCGCCAGTCGGATCCGATTTGACAACAAGGGGAAGAAAAAGAACATTCAAAAAACCCAAAAGTTCAAACTCATTGTCATTGAGTTGGAATGGACTCATAGCCGACATTCCAGCTGGTTTTCAGAGGCGGTACATTACTTAGGAGGAGATTGGATACCTTTCTCCTGCAGAGGAGCTCGTAGATCCGAACCATCTGTCTTTCAGTTGGTAACACAACTCCCTACCTCCTGTTGTTGTTGTTGTCATGTGCATCTAGTCGACTATGACTTACAGCGACACTATGAACTACAGTTCTGGACCTTGCTCTATCCTGAGCCAACTTCATTGTCTCCAACATATCTGACCCCATTGCTACAGTCACTGTGTCAATCCATCTTAGCCAGAGTCGTCTTCTCCTGCACTGACCCAATACTCTTCCAAGCATGATATCCTGCAAGGACTGGTCCCTCCTGGCAAGATGCCCAAAGTGTGTAAGCTGGAGTTTCAAAATTCTTACCTCTAAGGAACAACTTGGCTTCACCCTCTTGAGAAGAAATCTGTTTTCTTGGAGAAATCTGTATGTTTTCAATACTCTTTTCCAGCACCACAATTCAAAGGCATCGATTCTTCTTCTGTCATCCTTAGTAATTTCCAGCTCCCAAATGCATAGCATGCAAATGAGATATCCATGGCCTGGATAAGGCACACCTTAGTCTCTAGACTGATATCATTGCTCTTTAGCACTCTGGAGAGGTCTCTGACAGTAGACTTTTGATTTCCTGACTTCTGGTGCCAAGAGTGGTGATTGTTGATCCAAGCAAGATGAAATTGCTAACAATCTCAGTTTTTTCTCTGAGGTGACTCTATAAAGGCAGAATAACTCATTCAAAGTCCAGAGCTAGCTGGTTTCCACACAATGAAGAAATGGACTATTGGCCTCTCACCAGAATCCCCTTCCTATGTGATGACAGAATCTTATCATTAAAGAAAATTAAACATTGATCTCCCACATGCTCTGTTCTCGGTAGGCAAGGCTGGCAGCCTAGTTGAGAAAATAGAGTGTCTGATTTATCTAATGCTTCTGTAACAGAGATACCATAAAGGAGTGACTTTAACAAACAAAAATTTATTATCTCAGAGTTTAGGAGGTGAAAAGTCCAAAATCAAAGTACTGGCTCTAGGAGAAGGTGTTCTTTCTTTCTGCCGGTTTTGGGAGAATGCCCTTGTTACCTTTAGCAGCTGTAGTTCCTTGGAGACCTTGATATGTCTTGATCTCTTCCTTCAACAAAGAGTTTCCCAACACAGGGACCTGAGTCAAAATGACCCACTCAACTTCTGGCTCTTCATTCCTATGGCTCTTGTAAGCTCCCCATTCTTTGTTACTTCTATCTCAATTTATCTCTTATAAGACAAAAGGTGATTCATGTTACACTTCCACAAGATTCTTCTTTCATCAGACCTGTGACCTAATTAAGGGTGTTGCATCCCACACTTATCCCATTAGGATTGGTTGATCATATCTCAGATCACAACGTGGAGGATGGTTATATCACTATAGAACTGCCTACAATCTTGCCTCATTAACATCAGAGAAATTAGGATTTACAACCCAGAGGGTCATTACATCGGCAGCATGGCCTACTCAAGTTAACATATATATTCATGGGTCACAATTCAATTCATAGTACAGTGCAATAAAATGTATTCCTGGAGCTGACAAAAATAACAATGTGATGACTAGTGGGAGAATTTTAGAGAGAGGAGAGAGGTACTATGAGGAAGGGAGGTCATGGAGAGATGGTATTGACTTGGAAATTCCCGAGTTTAAAATGAGTGGTGTTAAAAAAGAAAAGATGAATGGTGTTCAGAGAGGTGGAGAGATTCTAGGGGTGAACTGTCTAGGAGGGAGAAAAAGCCTAAGTAAGGATATCCTCCTTCCTTACAAGGAAGTAAGAAGGCTAGAGCAGTGGGCTGGTTTTGGTGGACAGTGAGTCATGACGCTAAAGAGGGAGATTGGTGCTTCAAGGCGGAAAGATCATGCACGCCCAACTCAATCCTTTCTTCTTTGTCCAAGGATCTCAAGACCTTTATCAGGTTGATGATAACATGTCAACTTTTCTCATGAAACTTGAGGACATCCTTTCCTGGGCTACAAACAGACCAAAAACCAGTGAAGAAGAAAGAGAAGGAAAAAACAAAGCAGATGCCATCATCAAGTTCATGAGAACAAAATGCCACCCAAGGGCAGCCTTCTAGAGAGATTGAAGTCCCAAGAAAACAGTGACTTCTTTCTAAGGAAGGCACTTCTTCCCCAGCACCCAGTATCTGCTCAGAACAAGGACTTTGCAGCCTCCTGAGATGCCCACAGGGACCCAGAGATGCCTGCAGTTTTCCTGCTGGCCTGCTGCCCACCTGGCTCAAGCCCAGTATTTGTGAGTCAGCCGATCAATCCCAATGTTGCCAGGACAACTGTAAGGGCCCTGGGGAGTAAAACAGGGGTGGGCACCACAGGCAGGCTGTCTTCAGCATCTGGCACCTGGACACAGCTGAGGCCAAGTTAAGAGGAGGACTCTTCTCCGCAAGCCCCCTTCATGTCTGTACCCCTCCTCCTCCTCTTCCACTCATCCTAGGACATTCTCCCAGTTAGCAGCTTAGGCAAATATTTAAAGGGGCAGCTGGGAGGTGGGGTGGAGGATGGTAGGAGCAAATATTTCCCTTTCCTCTGCTCTTCTCTGAGCTTCTCAGGAGCTCTCAGCCCAGATGCCATGCTGTTGGGAAATCTCTAGAGTGAAGGTCCTCCAGCTGGACAGGGTGTCCTTGTGGGGGCAAAGACTGCAAGGGCCAGAGAACGGCATAGCCAGTTCATGACTGAAGGGCAGGGCAGAAGTGTGAAGGGTCCCTGAGCAGGGAACAGGAACTAGGCTGAAGTCTTGGAGTTAAGGTGGAAGCAAAGGGAGCCAGGTCAGGAGAGGAATATGTGAGTTTTTACACATTCATGACAGTTTGGAGTTGGAGGGACTTTAGAGACCACCTTGGCTTGAAAGGGAAAGGATATGGACAACGCAAGTCATTCCTATGTTTGATTTAGTACCAGAGGCAGGTAAACCATAACAGAGGAGAAACAGAAAGGAAATATACCTGGGGGTGCTGTAGACATTCTTAGGATCATCACCCAATAAAGCCATCTCCATTTTGACTCCTGATGACCTCAGATGTTAGAGTGTAGAGCTGTGCTTCACAACACTTCTTTGACTGTGATCCTTTGACTTCTTTGACTATGATCACCAGCAGACCTTTCTGGCATGGTGCAGCTACATGGGTTTGACCCACCAATCTTTAGCTTAACAGTTGCGTAGAAACCATTTGCAACACTCATCTAATTGAGGCCTCCTCATTAATTCTTATTCCTTGCCGTTCAGTTGGAACAGACTCATGGCTTACCCTCCGGTGGTTTTTCTGAGGCTGCAAATCACACTGGAGGAGACTGTCTGGTGGATTCGAACCTCCAGAGAGACCCCACACCCCTTTGGGTTTGTAGCACAACTTCCTACAGACTACACCACCAGAACTCCCTAATTTAGGCTCAAGGAATACAGAGAGAGGAGTTCAAACAAATAAGGGGATAGGTGTACCATGGAGCAAGTGGACTGTTCAAGGAAGAGATAATTGAGACACAAACTATCAGCATGTCTAGCCCTGGGCAAGGCTATCTGGGCATAAGAAAGAAGTGTCAGGTGTGGGGGTCTGCCATCAGAAGCCTTTGGCTTACAAACAAACCCATGATGGGGTGAGAAGGTGGTGGAAGCAAATGGTTGCGTTACCAGCAGAACGGACTGAAATAGGACAAGAATGACTGGGGACAACTCTGAGGTTAGGTGCCACAGTGTGAGAGGAGGCAAAGCAGGTAAAAAAAGGACTGAGGTGGTAATCTGACTCCTCAGAGAGAAAGGGACATTTCTAATCCCCTAAACTGAGTCATAGTCTTTTTAATCACTTGCTATGCATCTGAGAACTGGACAATGAATAAGGATAACAGAAGAATTGATGACTTTGAGTTGGAGAAGGGTACTGAATATCCCATGGACTGCCAAAAGAACAAACAGATATGTCTCGGAGAGGGTGCAGCCAGTGTGCTCCTTGGAGGAGGAGATGGCAAAGCTTCATCTCACATACTTTGGGCATGTTGCCAAGAGAGGCTATTCCTTAGAAAGGGACACCATGCTTGGGAAGGTGAAAGGGGTGGTGAAGGAGAGGAAGACCCTCAACCAGATGGATGGACACAGTGACTGCAGCTTTGGACTTGAGTGCTTCAGAGATTGTGAGGATGGCACAGGATAGGACAGTGCTCAGATCTGTTGTTCATGGGTTCAGTATAAGTTGTACTCTATTTGACGGTCCCTAACAACAACAAATTGATGTCAAAGCACATTCTGCCTTCACTAGTACCCTCTCAGACATTGCCTTCTCAATCTCCCTCCTAAGTTCATCCTTATTCTCAGGGGACCTTTTGGTGGAGAATGTGACAGTTGCCCATTGGGCCAGATTCTGGGTGTCCTGAGTGGTTCTGCCTGGCAGAATAAGAGCCATAGGACTGCAGGGGCAGGTGCCAGCAAGAAAGGTGAGAGCGCCAGCTAGACACCCACGGTGAGAGCACAGATTGCCTAAGGACAAGTTTGCTCAGCTCACCCAGGTTTACCTTGCTGGGGCCAACAGGAGCCACGTGCCAGGGCCAAGGGCCCTTGGGTGTTCTTGTGGCTCACTTATCAGAGCCTTGATTCTAGAGGGTCAGGAACAAACAGGCTTCAAAGCTGAAGGCTTGGCTAGTAAACATAAGCCTGGTGCTTCACTTCTGGCCCCTTTCCCTATGGATACATATAAGACCCTGGTCACATCTAGATGAGGGAAGGAAGACAGAAAGATGGATGCTGGCAGCAAAGAAGTCTTGATGGAGAGCCCACCAGTGAGTGTAATTGTGTGTGTGTGTGTGTATGTGTGTGTGTGTGTAGGTATGTGACACCTCTCTATCTATCTGCCTCTCAGAGCCTGTTCCTTTCAATCATTCATTCAGCTAACTTACCAACTTACCGATGACCATTTGTTATTGTGTCATTTCGGATTCATGGCAACTCTACTTGTGTCAGAGTAAAAACTGTGCACCAAAGAGTTTCAAAGGACTGATTTTTCAGAAGCAGATTGTCAAGGACTTTTTTTTAAGTACCTCTGGATGAACTCGAACCTCCAACTTTTGACTGTATACTAAATTAGAAAGGGGACACCAAGACCACTAAAATAGAGTTCCTTGGAGAGACAGACATGTTTGGGAGCCCCCAGAGAGACGTATGGGGAGTACAGCAGAGAGCACAGTGTAGGGAACCACACTAAGTATCTGGGATGCTCAGGTGGCATTTGAGCTAAATCCTGGAGAATAAGTAGGAGCCCACCAGGGAGAAAAGGAGGAAGGCATTCTAGGAAGAGGGTTAGTATGCGAAAGAGCATAGAGGAATGAGGGAGTCTGATTCTTGTGGAACAGAACAACTGGACGTGGCTGGAGCACTAGGGGTTTAGGGAAATTGGCAAGAGATAAGATTGATGAAATATGTTCTCTTGGGTACCTCCAAATGCATCCTCACTTTTAAACATTTGTGTTTTTATTGGAATCCTATGCATCTTCCAGTGGAGCTCCAGTTTCACCTCTTCCAGGAAGCCTTCTCTGATCATCTCAGCCCTTCTACCCCCATGTCCATAGCATTAACTGTCCATCCTTAGGAGAACATGGAAAGGTGTCCAGCTTGTGCATGGAGAGGAGGGAGCATGCTCATGATCTCACTCCTATCTTTCCATTTCTTCCATGCCATCAGGACTACTCAGCAGCCCCCCGGGGCCGTTTTGGCATCCCCTGCTGCCCTGTGCATCTCAAACGTCTTCTCATCGTAGTGGTGGTCGTGGTCCTTGTTGTTGTGGTAATTGTAGGAGCCCTGCTCATGGGCCTTCACATGAGCCAGAAGCATACTGAGATGGTGAGAAAACCTGGAATATGGTGGGCAATGTGTATCCTATCAGGAGGGCCCATATGGGGACGGGCACAAGAAACTGTTCAGTGGGGATGGAGATGAGGAAAGTGGCACAGTATGGGAGGGACAGAGGCAGGAACTGGGCGTAAACACAACCTGGGTTTGTCCATCAGGCCTGTAGCCCATGCTATAAGAGCCCATTTCCTCTAGCATTCCCTTCCATTCAGCATCTCTGGGCTCTCAGAAAATAATGAATTGCATTTGAGTGAAGAGGACTGAGAGTAGGCCTAGGAGGTGAATGTGGAATGCCAGAAAGTACTATGTCTTCCTTCAGGTCCTGGAGATGAGCATGGTGGGGTCAGAAGCCCAGCAACGCATGGGCCTGATTGAGCACATGGGCAACACTGCTACCTTCTCCGTTGGCTCCACTGGCATCGTAGTGTATGACTACCAGCGGGTGGGTATGCCTGGACCTTTTAACACTGACTTACTAACATCCAACTCTCCTACCCACTCCCAAGGAGCCTCTTCTTGGGGTACTCAAATCCCAGATTCCAAAATTATCTCCTTGCCAAAACTAGAAGGAGCTGGCTAAGGATTAAGTTGGGCTGTGAACAATGCAGGGACCTTTCTTAAATGAACTCTGCTTCTTGTACTCAGCTCCTGACTGCTTATAAGCCAGCCCCTGGAACGTGTTGCTACATTATGAAGATGGGTCCAGAGGGCATTCCCAGTCTTGAGGCTCTCATCAGAAAATTCCAGAACTTCCAGGTGGGTGTGAGGGTAAGGGGCGGGCTCTCTCCTTCCTAGGGTTCCTCTAAGGACAATGTGAAATGACAGATATCATCAACTGTAAAGCATTGCTGTCATGGACCTTCTGGAGAGTGCCTATCTCCATCATCATGTCTCTCTCCCCTATCCATTCCTAACCACACGACTGCCAAGCAACCAGCCTCACCCAAAACCTGGGTGATTCTGACCCTAGCAAATTCTCTCATTATTAGGGAAGAAATTGAGTCTGAGAGGGGTTGCCTGACATACTCGAGATCCCACAATAAGGTCGGAGGTAAGATAACTCAGACTCCAAATTAAGTGCTCTTTCCAGGCCAAGCCTGCAGAGCCTGCCACGAAGGAAGAAAGGCACAGCTCGGGCTCAGCATCTTTTGGAGACCTGGCAAACCTGGGCATCACTGTGAGCACCCTGTGTGGGGAAGTGCCCCTCTACTACATCTAGGATCCTCAGGTGAGCTGGCACCGGGGCACTGGAGCGGCAGCAGGGCTTAGGCCACCTGCCCTATCTGTTGAGCAGCCACTAGGCAGCTTAGAGGAGGGCAAGTTCAAAGATGACCTCCTCCTGTTCCTCTCCCTCATATGATAGTGTTCCTTTGTTTCACAGGGATAAGATGCTCCCACGGGACAAGGAAGACTCAAAGAGCAAATTGCCTCCTGCAGACAGTCAGAATGCTGTTCTTGCCCACACCACAGGGACAACCTCTGGAGAAATGGGAATTTGTGGGGTGACGACGGGAGCTGGGAAAAAAGTGGTTCCTATGGATCAGGGTGTTCCTACTACAAAAGAATAAAGCAGTTTATTGAAAAACAAAGAGCTGTTACCTCTTCTATCTCCTGACACCTCGTGTATCTCCTGACAGCCCCTGAAGTCCTGTTCTTGGTAGTGACCTTGGGGAATCAGAGGAAGCTTTCCCATCCTCCCTCTGAGGGTGATGGGGATACAGTCCACTTGCGGCGGGGGAGGGCAGTGAGGAGAGGCCTGGGGAGCAATCCGCGGGCTTTCGGCGCCCTCCAGTGGTGCGTCTCCAGAGAGGGAGGGAGACAGAGACAGTGAGAGACAGAAAGGCAGAAATTTTAATACAGAGACCAAGAGCGAGGGAGATAGGAGGTCCGAATAAGAGAGAGAGAGTGAGAGAGAGCGCTGCAAATTAGAGAAACTCATAGACCTAGGGAAAGAGAGAAGTAAGGGCAGCGCGAGCGACCCAGCGCCTGACAGCGTGTCCCGCCACCCAGAAAGGGTCCAAGGGGCAGGGACACCCGCGGCAGAAGCGGCCGCTAGAGGGCACTTTGCGGGAGCAGCTCCCGGGTCAGGGACCCTGGAGATCGAGCACCCCCTCCCCAGGCCAGCGGCCGGCTGGGAGTCGGTGGCGGAGGGGGCCGGGGCGCGGGCGGCAGCCCCTCCTGGTGCGGGTCGGCTGCTCGCCTCCGCCCCCGGCTGGCGCGGTTCCCGGGCCGGCGGAGCACAGTCCCGGCCCCGAGGGGGCCGAGCTCCGAGCGAAAACACGCCCTCCAGCGAGCTCATTTCCCTAAAAGGGGGGAAGGAGGGAGGTAGTGAACGAGAGAAAGAAAGAAAGGGAAAGAAGGGAAGTGAAAGGGAGACAGCTAGAGACGAAGGGAGAGAGAGAAGAAAAATCGGGAAAGAGAAGGGGGAGGGAGACAGGAAGGAGGGAGGGAGAGGAGGGAAGGGAAGAGGTAGTGAAGGAGCGAGGGGGGAGAGGGGAGGGAGGGGAACGGCCGGAGAGAGAGGGAGGGAGGGAGCGAACGAGAAGAGGGGAGCGCCCTCCTCCTCGCTTCCATTCCTCCGCTTCCCCTCTCGCCCGCTCCCGCGTCCGGGCGCGACCCGCCGCCACCGCCGCCGCCGCACCCGCCGCCCGCCAGCATGCCCGGCGTGGCCCGCCTGCCGCTGCCGCTGCTGCTCTGGCTGCTGCTGCTCCCGCGCCCGGGCCGGCCGCTGGACTTGGCCGACTACACCTATGACCTGGGAGAGGAGGAGGATTCGGAACCAATCAACTACAAAGACCCCTGCAAGGCGGGTGAGCACCATCCCCACCCCACTGGCCCGCTGGGGCGAGGGGCGCTTAGGAAGGGCGGGCGGGGAGGCGCGGGCTGGGTTTAGGGTTTGGGGTTGGGGGAGGACAGTCCAGTGTGGGAAGCCGGGAGCTGCCTGGTTGGCAATGCTGTGGGGAACAAAAGAACGAGGGAGAGAGGGAGGGGGAAGTTTGGGGGACTTTTAGGACTGAAGTTTTGCTGCTGTTTGTGGAAGCTGCGGCCGCTGCCTCTTGTCTCCGAAGAAGATTCCTGGGAAATTTCCTTGGGTCCAGAGAGAAACTGGCGGGCCAAGAGGCTTTTCCTCCAGCAGGAAACTTTTCTAGCCCAACTCTTGGCAGTGTGTGTGTGCATGTGTGTGCACTTTTCCCTTCACCTCCATCTCCTACTCCAGGCCCTTGGTGTTTTGCCGTCCTGTCTGTTTATATTGAATGCCCTGGGGCTGCACATCTGTCTGGATGGAGTCGAGAGGCCTGCACAAGGAAGGTGCAGTCTCTGGAGGCCCCCAGCCCACATAGAAAAAGAAAGTTTTCACACGCTCCTCCGTGACAGTGCTCCCTGAGTATCCCCAGTCCCTGACAGGCAGCGGCAGTTTTCTGGGTCCCAAGGAGGCAGCTGTCAAAATCAGAGAAGCCGGTTTAGAAGGTACTTAACTTTTCTCCTATGTGTCAGGGGGCTCTTACCAAGGCCAAGTTGAGATGGAGAGTGAAGAAAAACACAAAGAGAACTCAGCAACTATATATCAGCTCTCTCACCCCCCATACACAGAGGTTAATTAGCCTAAATCAGAACCCCTGGTGTGTTTATTTGTGTCTGTGTGCATGTGTTCTTTGTCCATGGAGATTGTGTGAAACCCCTTCACTCCTGCTGGACCCAGAAAGGTCCTGCCCCTGGAGTGACCAGATGGCCAGACACTTGAGCCATTTGCCTGACTGGATGACTGAGGCAGGCTGTCTGGGACAAGAAGAACACACAGAAAGCACAA